GGGGGGGGGGGGTATGCTTATAGCTAGGAAGAGACTGATTAAATGACAACAAGACCCTTCAGGATCTACCAATCCCTGCCCTCAAGGAAGGGGATTGTCCATTGAGTGGTTTAATCGTTAAATGTGTAAAGCAAAGGCTGTCACTTGCCTCCAGAATTTAAACTGTTTGCTATATGAAACTTTTCTTTGAGGTTTAGACAAAACCTACAGAATCGGGACATAGGCGAAATTCATAACTTCATAGATCTACTCCAAAAGCAGAACATCACATTGTTGCATCAAGATATTTGGAAGAGAAACAGAAGGAGAAATGAGGTTTTTTCAACAAGGGGAAGCCTGAGAGTTGCTACATTGTGCCAAGTATCTACATCACCAACTTCTAAAGTATGAAGTTTTTGTTTTTGATCGGTCAAGGATGAAGCATATTTACATGGTGATACAGAAACTTCAGTCTAGAAACCCCTTTTTAGGCTAATTGCTTGAGGCTTTGGGTTCTACTGTTGACTATACAACATCCTGAGAACTCTATGGCTGTCCTCCTCCTGAAGGTCGTAGGTCAATGCACACAGCGGGTGGTTTCTCACAGCTTTGTACCATGTGAGAAATAAGATAAACAAGGTGAAGAAAAGGAATGCCAAAGACTAATGTCATACGTCTTAAATTCTTTTACAGTCACACTTTACAAAGTATCATCATCGCTATCATTATTATTATTATTGATATTGTTATTGTAACTGCTTTGTCTGACGCCAGATGGTTTGGAAATTTTGAAAACTTAGTAAACAGATTCATATAAGCTACCCCTCAAAACTTGAGGTGGTTACAGGCCAACTGCCCACCTTCAAGTACTCATAAATCCAGCATGTTAATACCAGCAATACTTCATCTACAGCATATAAACATGGGAAACTTATTTTGGACCTTAGAATTTAACCAGGTGGTAGCGAAAATGATGGATAAAAGCAGTTTACATTATCACTGTTCGGAAGTATTACCTATGAATATGGTATATCCCGCATGGTTAGATTAGTTATCAACTGATAAGGGACCTAGAAACTATGAGATTGTTTACTAAAATGTCAGTCAGCATAGTTGGCGAGATTGAACAAGCAAAGATGACTCTATTGATAGCAAGAGCAGCAGGAGAAATTAGGAAATGCTAAAAAGTAGACACTAATCATGCCTGGAGGAATTCCAACATAGAGCTCTCCGTCAATCTTTAAAGGTCGAACAAACACTTCTTCTAGGAGTTCTTGAAATCTTCTTCCTGATGCTCGCTGTATTGAGATGACAATAGATAAATACCTCAAAGCATGTCAAGATTATAAAATATACTGAGAGAGATATGTTTTTGTACAGACGCTCCACTACAAGATTATTTCATTTCAAATTCAAAAGAGGAGCCAGTAAGAGCTACTGTCAGGATCTTTCTGTAAAAAACCAACCCCCAGTCCCACCGTGACCATAAACATGGTGCACAAAGGAAACTTCCCTTCAATTTAAATTAAACTTAGTTCAATAACATTTTAACTTTGCATAATTTAGTTGATGTTTTAGGGGTCATGACACAAAATAATTAGCAAGAAATTATGGTCATGAAATTTGATCAGAAAACATGAAATGCAACATTACCTCAATAATGCCACCACATAACCAGCCAAAAGACAAATAATGGTACAGCTGCTCATGACCCGGTGCAGTTTCTGCAGCAGTCATGGCAATCCGTTTTAAACATTCATTCCAATCAGTCATCAAAAAAGGGTCTTCTTGGCTAATACCACCCATGGCATTATGTAAACCAGAGGTATGGTTAAGAACATGATGAACCTGCCGAAATTTTAAAAAAAAGAAAGATAATGAAACAAGCACTCAAACTGACATAGTAGGAAAGTAAATATCCAGGACTAAGAAATAGGTATTCTAGAATTCCAGGTGTTGCTTTCTGCCAGTATATTCGAATATTTCCTGAAAAAAGAACGACATTAACTCTTTTTTTTCTTCTTTAATCATTTACTCACTCAAGAAGTGTCAGAAACAAGATTTCCAAGTAAAAATAACAATTTCTATTATGGTGTAGCTCCAGAACTTCTTATACCTTTATTTGGTCTTTTCCATTTGATCCAAATTCGGGCCAAATATTTGCAATATTGTCATCAAGCTTCAGCTTTCTGTTAGATAAAATGTTCTCATTGGTTAATTGCAAAGGCTAAAATTATGTATCCTAAACAAAGCAAGAGCACGAAATGGCTCACAAACATCGGGTACCTCTTAAAACTTCAAAATGAGCAAGACACATTTAAAGAAAAAGTAGAACTACAAATGAGTATAGGAAAGATCAAGATTACTAGTAGGTAAATCAAAGATATTTCTACCTTGAAGCTCTTAAAGTTTGAATCAGTATTTTTAAAGTGGATGTATAAGCGAAGGTTCCATCCCAAGCAAAGCGAGGTGCATACCTTCTAAATTTTGACTTACCAGGAACCTTCTAATGTGAGGGCATATCGATAAAAAACCTAACAGTGATGAGAAAGTACGAAGAAATAATGACATGCCTTGATTGAAGGCAGGCCTTAAAAAAGTAACTTTTTCGGTAAACAAAAAAATCCACCCGTGTGAGCTTGCTCACATTGCCAGGTCCCAAACCCGGATAAAGAAGGGTAGTTGTGATAGGTTAGCAGCCAGTGTAAAATTAGGCCAGTGGCGCACGGTTCGAAACTCAGTGGATAGTGCCCCACACTCTTACCCTTCTCCACTTAAATACTATGCTTTTATCTGCGGCAGGGTTTGAATCCGTGATGTGCGCCAAACCCACCACAAGTTGCGCTCTTACCACTAGATCAAAGCCCCATGGGCAGCACTCGTTTTCTTTATTAGAATAAACGATTAAGAAACTTCTGTATTTTAGACAAGAGAATAGAAAATTAGGACATCCAAGAGTAGAAACTGAAATTATTGCTAGGATCACATACCCATTATCAACCAGCCAGTGTACTAGTCCCGCACTGATTCCCTTTGTTACTGAAAAAACAGAAAATAAGCTATCGGGTTGGACTGGACGAGGATCATATTTTCCAAGTACCCCAGCAGCAGTATCAATGATCACTTCTCCATCTTTGTAGGCACATACCTTGAAATACACAACAAAAAATGAGCATGCCTGAATTAGTGAAACCCGGGAATGAATCGACAAATCTATAAACCAACCTAAATGGAGAGACATTTTCTAAATTAGAACGTTAGGCAGCAGTATGACTAATCCCTTCAGCTAGGATCGTTAGATCACTTCATTAGAAGAGATATGGAAAACAACAGCCTCTTCTAAGTTGTTAAGTCCCAATCTAATATCAGAAACCCAGAAAGGAGCATCGAATAAAACCCTACACGGAGAATAATTGAGTACATATCCGATTTGTAGCACTATAGAGTTTGACTAAAAATTACCCATTCATATTCACTTAAAGAACTCTCAACTCAATTCAACAACTTCGAAGACTAAATTATGTCCTTCACTATCTGAAACATCCACATGGCTAACACAGAATTTTCCAGTGCTATTCTCACTCATCTCCCAGAATTATAATCTGGTTGATATTCTCCATAACTGACTGCTCCATCTTCTGTATTTATCCTGTGCTTTCTCTTTGTTTCAAGGTACAGCCTACCTCTACGCCAAACCCCCAACTGAAAAGGTAGTCCGCACTCTATATTTAATTTATTTTCTTCGATTGAGTGTTCAATATGAGATAGAGGTTCACTAAACCTTCCTTTTCCACGGACATATCTTGACTAAAGACCTTGTGTTACTTTTTTCTGCAGCAAGAAATTGTACTCCCACAGCATTAGTAGTGTTGGCTACCCCTGAAGTTGCAAGAGTGGGGAACAAAGCCTTTGGGAAGGGAAGCAGGTTGGTAGGATAATCAGACTGCAAAAATATGGTAGTTACGAGTATGTACCTGAATTCCGAGTATTTTCTCAGCATTCCCAAGCTCGACCAAAAGCTGCCTTAGCTTGGCTTCAACATCGGAATGAACTGGGGTGTCATAAATCCATCGTGGATTCAAAGCTGGCCCTCTATTTAAGTTGCTGGTACAAGTTGATGATCAGATACTTAGGGAGTAATGCATCCGCTGAACATATGGTAAAATAAGCACAAAACAGAGCTCACCATTGGAGAACAGATTCAGCAAAAGGTCTCATGATATCGATATAGACTATGCGGACATTCATTGTTGCAGAAAGCCCTGAGAATCACCGACAACCACTGAGTCAGTTCTTCGTACTTAGATGATACAAAGAGGAGATAATAGTGCACATTCATCACAAACCTCTAAGAAGATTAAGAACCCTCCCAAATATAACGATATCACTAGGAAAGGCATCCACCTGGAGAAAAAATTATCAGCTGCTTCAGAATCATCAAAGTCAGTGGTTGATAATTCACAAAGTCAACAGTGGTCAAAAAGCTATTAGCTTACAGGATTAAAGCGTTTCACTTCCTTCTCATTCAGTTTCATTTTTTCTTGTATAACCTTTAGGTTCTTTGACCTTTGCTCAGATAACATTTTCATACTTTCCTTCATCAAATTGAGAAATAAGTCAGACGAGGGAAATTGGATAGATATAATCAACTAATAACAAGAGCATCTTACAAGAGCTTCATTGGCAGGCGTGGAAGAACGGAAGAACACAGAAGTAACCTCCATAGCTTGTTCCGGTACGTCAAGGCGAAACTTGAGTCCCATTTCTGCAAATGCAGACAAAAGTGCAACATGGTCCCCCTGCAAGAAGTGGTATCTCAATTTTTACAATGGCAAGTTGGTAGAGAAACAGCATAACCATATTTTGTTGATTATCTGAAAACAGAAGCACAAAGTGATTGTTGTCATTGGAATAAGAGGGACCAACAGCGCTTCACAAAATAATTACATTTAAGTGTACGAGAATAACAAGATGAGCAAACATCTTGCACCTTAATTAGATTTTTTATTGAATTTGGTTATAAAACGTGCTTTATTCTTATAACTTTATCCTGAAAGAGGGAAACTCATTAAACAAATATACTATTAAATAATGGGGCTCATTGACCTATTACCTGGGTTTAAGCCCTCTGTACAATTAAATCAAACTATCACACAGATATAACAACAACAACACAGTGGGATCCCACAAGTGAGGTCTGGGAAGGGTAACATGTAGGCAGACCTTATCCCTACTCTGGAGGGCAGAGAGGCTGTTTCCGAAAGACCCTCGGCATCACACAGATATAAAGGTTTTAAATAATTATCCTTTTCTGATACCATAATATCAGCAAGGGTAGATGAAATAGGAGGTCTGGCTGGAGAATAGAATGTTAATTATTATTAAAAATTTGATTGTTGACACTTTGTAAAAAGTTAACTGTTGACAGACAGGACTGATACACTAGTACACTGCTTGTGATGCTAAGAAATGGCCAGACTAAGGAGTTCATGTTACTAGGTGGAATACTTGTCATGGCATATCGGAATAATACTACTGAACCAGTTAAGTACTGTAAGGGCTCGTTTGCTTCCCGTATATGAAAAATAACCGTGGCATAAGAATCTGCATTAGGAATAACAAGCTTGGTTCATGACATAAAATTCTGCATATTAACACAACATTTGCTTACCATTTTTGTTTTCCATATGAACAAAACATTCATAACTTATACAGGAATATTGTGTAGTATTCAATGCAAGATAGGAATTGGAATAAGAATATGTTTACTAACAATACATAGATAAGAAAACCTAAAATGATATAAAAAATGCACTTAAGTAATGCGCCATGTTTTAGTACCCAAAATAAAAAGGAGATACAATCTTAGTTTCTTTAAACTAAAACTTGTACTTGTGTACTAACTGGTATAGATCATTCTTGACATTTGTATTGCAACCCCTGCATAATAATTTTAAAGTAGTACTTATCGCATAATTGTTCTTAAATTATTACTCACCACATAACCATCATATATTACAGTCCTTGCATAATTAGACCATCAACCAAACGACTCTAAGTGAAACCTTCTATACCAATGTTTCCATCACCAAATGTCTTCATTTTGGAGTATCTTTCATCTGTAAAATGAATCATTTAAGTTGAATAATTGGGCCATGGATCCAGATCTAAATACAGGGTTCAGCAGGTAGTTGCAATCTCGTTTATTCCTGGAAGTACCAATAGATTGCAAGCTCATCCTCCACTTGGAAGGCAAAGGTTCCTTGTGCATCCACACATTTACGTGGTCCTTGTCCCTTCAGGTTTAACACTACTGACCTGATACAGTAGAATAGACCTTACAATCTTGAAGTCCTAACTGTCTTAGTATCTGACAGGAGAGATAAGAGATCACTTTCGCTTGTTTTCACATTGTTCCTTCACAACAGAACTGTAACAGTATTTTTAGTAGCTGCGGAAGACACTGTTGTTTCATCTTCAATGCATGAGTTTAGACATTAAACACTGGGATTGATCTAAAAAAGAAGGTTAAGTTATTTGCAGAGATGCTCCACGGGCTGCCATTATTTACTAGTGTAGAGTGTGAAGCAGGATCAATTGATTGTTTCATTCACCGCTCCACTTCTGGTGATCGGTCACTGAAACGAACACAAGGCTTTAGCAAGCCACCCAATGTAGGACGAATTACCTCCCATCCGTTCTAGCTACTCCACACTGGCCTTAAAAGCGCCTACTTTTCTTTCTTTTTTGAGCTCTCACCTTGAGCCGATCTTATTCAATGGATTGTGACTTTCTCACTTGAGCTTTCTATCGAATTTCCATTGGTTTGCGAGTCCTATAAGTGGAGTAAAGCAATATTTCTCCGACCAAATTATAGGACACAGTTTGGTGCCTCTCTATTTTAGGTCCCCGTACATTTCAGAACTTTTAAAGATTTGTATCAGGGTCCATACCACCCTAGAGTCTGTTTCTCTGCTCTCATCTGAAAAACCAATCTGTCTTCTGCCTCTGTGCAAAACTTGTATTTTTGTGGTGCAAGTGTACAAGCCCAACATTTTATGGTGATATATCTCTTCCCTGTTTCTATGTTGTAACATATGTGTGTATGTCGTGTTTAAGGCATCTTTGCTACAATGATAGATTTAGTATGCATAAAATAATTTACATCCATATGTGTGGATATCTGTCTTTTTCTTCTCTGTGACATCCACACTCCTCCTCATCCTCCCTTCTATCACCCTCTCCCAAATTTTCATCGTATGGTTCAACAACTTGATACCCCTATAGTTGTTGCAGTTTTGGATATCCCCTTGTTCTTGTACAACAGAACCATCGTACTCCAACTCCACTCTTCAGGCAAAAGATATGGGTAAGGACGGCAGGAGGGGGCTTTGAATACTTCCTGGTTGAGATGGGGTTGCATCAGGGATCTGCACTTAGCCCATTTTTGTTTTCCTTGGCAATGGACGCATTGACGCGACACATTCAAGGGAGGTGCCTTGGTGCATGTTAGTTGCAGCTGACATAGTTCTGATTGATGAGACGCGTGGTGGTGTTAATGAGAGGCTGGAGGTCTGGAGACATACTCTTGAGTCTAAAGGTTTCAAGCTAAGAAGGACCAAGACCAAATACTTGGAGTGCAAGTTCGGCGGTGTTGCCCAGGAAGCGGACGGGGATATGAGGCTTGATATGCTAGTCATTCCCGGGAGAGAGAGTTTTAAGTACCTTGGGTCTATGATTTAGAGTGATGGGGAGATAGATGGATGTGTGGGCACACGAGATTAGACGGAATTCGGAATGAAGTTATTAGGGACAAGGTGGGAGTTGCCCCTATGGAGCAAAAGATGCGAAAGGTGAGGCTGAGATGGTTCGGGCATGTTAAGAGGAGAAACACAGATGCCCGCCTCGGTCAGGAGGTGTGAGAGGTTGGCCTTGAGGTGTAAGAGGAAGGGTAGAGGTAGGCCGAAGAAGTCTTGGGGAGAGGTGATCAGGCGGGACATGGCTCAGCTTGAGCTAACTGAGGACATGACCCTTAAAAGGAGGGTGTGGAAGTTGAGAATTAGGGTAGAAGGTTAGTACGTAGTTGAGTGTTTCCCTTTGTCTTCCTTGGTTCAACAGTATTCGTGTTAGTATGGTATCGATTTTACCCTTAGTTTGCTATTTTCACATATCTTGTATTGTTAGTACTTGCCATCAGTATCCCTTTAGTTTGATATCATTGTATATCTTACTTGTGATAAGTACTTCTTTCATCTTCCCCTTTGTAATCTTGGATTTAGTTTTCTAAATATCATGTATTGTCATTACTTGCTATCAGTGCTTCTTACATGTTCTCTTTAGCCGAGGGTCTTCCGAAAACAGCCTTTCTGCCCTTCCAAGGTAAGGGTAATGATGCATACATCCTACCCTCCCCAGCCCCCACTTGTGGGAATACACTGGGATATTGTTGTTGTTGTTGTTGTTGACATGGTATCTTTGACAAAACATTATTAGGTACTGATACTCTTGAATTTGTTTTAAATAATTTGTGAATTTTGTCAACTAGAAAAAATAGCAGAAAGATCAACTAATATGACTTGGTCAGACTCATAATGCATGACAGAGTTAGCCGGATAGGGCTTCGGCAATATGCCTGCATCAACAACTTCATAAATCCATTGTATCCATCATTACAAGCATATTACACAGTCCTCATTGGATGTTAAAGAACTTGACAAACCTCAGCAGCTGCCAGAAACATTTTTGCGAGAGCTTGTTTCAAGGAGCTTGACAGCAACTTTGTGAGCCCAAAATCAAGCAAAATTGGGCGATGAGGGGGTTCCTTGCTCACCAGAAAATTTCCTATTTTTGACAACCCAAAAGAATATTAAACAGAGTGAAACACTACTAAGAGTTGGAAACATGTATTCAGCATAATTAGCAGGACGAAATTGTAGTTTTTTGTAGAATCTTAGTGAGGTAAAAAGCATAGGCAAGTTAGTATGGAGTCTTAACAGCATATCAACAAAATCACGTCAGACGTAAATCAATGTAAGCACAGTGACTCATCCCTAGTGAAAGAGAAAGGAATGGAAAGCTACCTGGATGAGGGTCTCCATTAAAGAATCCATCAACATAAATTTGGTGTGCATATGCACGTGTAATTTCTTCCACAAGTTTTTGCTTGTCTATTCCCAAAGCTCGAAGTGATTCAGCGTCATTCAAATGAACACCGTCCATATACTCCAGTATGAGCACCTTTTCAGTGGACTGTCATTTCATGTAATCCAATATAAGAACATTGTTGAAAAAAGGAACAAAGATATCTCACAATACATGGATAGAAGTAACTAATGAGAGATTGGAGTGATTGAAGCCTACACCTTTCTGAAGTAATCGGTCAACTAATATAAATATCATAGACAATTTCAGCATCTTTAGGACATGTGAACTTATATAGGTGAGCCCCTCACACATCCCCTCGTTGACAAACATAAAGATCTCTCTTTCATATGTAACCAAAGGGTAACGAGTGGACCCTTGTGCGGAGAAAACGAAAAAGGAAAGACCCTACTCAGTGTATTTCCTCCCTGCAAGACCTAAAACTTGTTAAGACACAGGCAGACCGTCAAGTGATACATAAGATTGAGCTGGTTAGAGACCTTTACTGTCAAACTACCTTAAACTCCACTCAAAATGAAGCATAGGAAAAAGAGGTCAGGTGTACTAATTTGCATGTGTCAACTGTCTTTATCTTCATGCAAAAGATAACATGAAAAGAGATGCAATGATGACTAGATTTCACCAAGTACCTTCGGAGGATCCTTACAACAACAACTACTACTATTCAATCCCAAACAAGTTGGTGAAGTCCCTCTTAAATCATCCATATGAACCTTCGTGAAGTTCCTCTGACCATTACGGGGGACATGTTTGCTTCTGGATAGATTTGATGCAACAACTCTCTACATGTAGATACATATTAACTACTTACGGCAGGGAGCTCCTCTCCCTAGTAGTTCTATCAATAACATCAAATTTATAAAGCATTAAAGTAGGAACTTCTACTAGAGACTAGAGCTCCAAAAAAGTCACAAATAGTAGCTTAGACAGCTTTTAAGTACTAAGGGGACGTACTTGAATGACTTCAGGAATTAGTACGTCCACATGATTAGCAGGCTTGCTATCATCACATCTTTTGTTACAACGGAGATTCCTAGAGACCTTTCGAGTGTTTTCTGCCAGAACCGAAAGAAATAAAAAAAACTTAACAAACATGATCCAGAAAAAAACACTACTGAAACATTAAGAAAATCAATTTGACTACTTGAAGCATACCAGCCTCATGATTGAAGTCTAGTTCTTTAGGTGCTTCTTTGCACCATTCATCTATCATGGGGTGGAAATTATATTGCGGTTCCGCCCATGCTATCCAATCAACTATTGACTTGGCATTTTTCAGGTCCTGTAAAAGAACTGGAGTAAATGACACTACTCTTTTTCAGTACTCTATATTCACACAGCAAAAGAATCATTGCCTCTAGCATAAACAACCTCCAGAATAACTGCTTTTATTCCATCATGCTGAACTTTGACGACAACATCCTGTCCATCACTCAAAGTTGCACGATGAACTTGCGCTATCTGCGAAAAGGTAATGTTGACAGCGATAAGGATAACTTATAAGCCTCTTGTATTGAACAAAGAAAAATGTAAAAAGCCAATGTTGGGACCACCATCGGTCCTACAGCTCGCACCAACTTCCTCTATTATACTCCACATCTGCGTACTTCTAATAAAATTGATAAAAATAACTATAGATTTTACTGCCAAGGTAGGAAAGCAGTGGCTGAACTACTACTGCCTAGTTGGAAATCCTTGTTTTCACTCTGCACCTAGCTTTTTAGTTCAGACACTTACTGAGGCAGTTGCCAGAGGTACTTTGACAAAATCCAAGAATAGATCATCCATGGTCTTCCCAAACTCTTTCTCTATGGTTTGGCATACCTGGGGGCAAACAATTCATTCAATTAGTAACATTTATCTGATGAATGTTTAGATATTCTTTTTATCAATCTGATGAATGTTTGGATATTTGTTTTATCAGTCTGATGAATTTTAGATATTCACACTGCATAAACATAAATTGAACTTGCAGATTTCTTGTATGATTTTATGAGCCAAAAATATATAGATATTACAATGCTCTAAGAGCAAAGAAATGAAACCATAAGGAGCTATGTAGCTAATTTCCTGCTAAAGCGAATTTAGCATCCCAAGATCATGTCATAGAAAAGACTATCTGAATATATAGAAGATAAGTAGAATTTTTTTTATAGGATTTAAAAGGTGCCACTGAAATGTATAGCTCTAATGCTTAAAAAAAACTAAGAGTTTCCATAGGAGCAAACTAGAGCTATTTCGACTGAGCTACTCTTTGACATGGTTTTGTCTAGCAAGGACAGTACAAGAGCAATAATAGGCCCTAATAAATGAATGATAAACTGGTGCTTTTTGCTCACTATGGCATATAGGTTTTTCCATAATTTGCAGCTTCACACTGCAAAGGCATGCCATCTTCTTGTGACTTGTAATTGAGGAATTGCCATCTCCCACAACCATTTTCCTTTCCTCTTAAACTTCCATTTCCAATAAAAATGCGGAGCGTGGATAACATGCATGTAACCAATTAAAATTTTCAGAAATAAAACCGCATGGAGCAGAAGGGTATTTTCCTTGGTGGGTTTCTAAAGGAGAGGCTCTATAGGTAAATAAAATGAGATTTTCGTATAGAGAGGAATTTTGTGAAAATATGCTAATCAAAGAAAAGAAGAAGAAGAAGAAGAAGAAGAAGAAGAAAAACGGAGGAGGAGGAATCATGTAAAAATATTAAAAGAATATAAGTGTTTGAAGAAATACTTAATATCAATTCAAAAGTCCAAGCAACATAGAATAGATAACATAGTGGGATAATGACGCACGTATTTTCCCTGTTGTCTTTTGGTTCTCCTGCTTACTTCTGAGATGCACCATAGTATGACTTGTAAGTAAATGAAGTCAGAGAAGTTTTTAGCATATCTTTTCAGCTCGATGTAACCTGAGGTGCTTCGACTATTAATAGTTAACTAGGTCATGTTAAAAAAGCCAATTAAAAGTTCGACTTTAAAATGTGGTTAAACACAGCCTCCACTCTTTTACAATTTCTCTCTCCTTCTCTCCTACCAATTTTACCCTCTCAGCCACACAAAAAACAGAACACATGGGTCAGGATGTGCAAACCACTCTTTTTTTGTGCAAGAGATTTTTGAGAGAACCTTCACGATGTTTCTCAAGTCTCAATCATAAAAAAAATATTCAGGTTATCATTCATACAATCCTCATCAGAGAAAACTAAATCAGATCTCAACATACAAATTATAAAACTAGAGAACCCCCCCCCCCCCCCC